ATTTTGATATAAATTATAATCGATCGAATTCTATGATCTGTTTCAAATTCTAACTTGACCTCTATTATAAGTCACACTATTAAAAATAATTATCGTTATAGCATATACAAGTCAAAGTATCAAAGGAATAAAAATCACCTGACTAATAATTTCAGCAAATAAGTTTAATAAGTCAAGAAGGCATAGTTATTACCAATGTATAATATAAATATCTGTATTATAAAGCACAAAGCTGAGACTTTAATTTATTTGATATAAACATATTAGGTTCACTATAAACAGAAATCCAAAAAAAAAGATTTAAATTATACCTAACTAAAATAAACAAGTCAAATAAAAAGATCTATACATGATAAGTTAGGATACATTTCATAAACTAAAAAAGTAACGATAGTAGACAGTATCATGGTTTCATTTTATATGTTGAATTTAAATAACAGCATGGGGTTGTGGAGATTATTAACTTTTCGATAAAGATCATGAACCAATTGATGTCAGGCTACCATTGGAAACCTGGAAGCACTGGACGACCGTTTCGTCCCATTGCAGGACTCCTCAGAAGTGAGCATCCACGATCCCGCTCGCGGGATTCGAGCCCAAGGTCATCGGTCTCGTGAACAACCGCTTAAACTCTACACCATTGAGCCGACATTAAGGTCGTCTGATGTAGCTTATTGTTACAGGTTAACCATGTACAACCGGTAGTTAAAGAAGAAACATTAATTCAATACTTCATAAAATAATCAGAATGTTTCTTAAATATAAACGAGAAGAAATAATGGTCTATATATATTTATACGCTAGTATAATCACATATTCATTATTAAATGAAGACAGAAATCCTAATTTATTTCATACAAATATCTCTAGGTGATATAGTTGGAAATTGTTAAGTGTTTACACAGATGTATTAATTCTATATGATCAAATTAATGTAATCAAGTAACAGTAGAATAGTTGAGTTCATGGGTCAATTAAACCTAGACCACCATGGAAAACCTGGAAGCACTGGACAATAGAATAATCAAAATCAATCAGTATGATATGATAAAACTATGACATAAACTTCTCAAAAATGTTCACATAAAACAAAACTAAGTACAACATTTATTATTTAATTTAATGATCAAACAAAGTATCCAATAGAATGGTAAATACTACTTTTCGACTAGAAATATCAAGATTTAGGTTTGAATCTTTATACACTAGAATCCAGTTAAAGCAGATTCAATATACACAACATCTATGGCTTAATAATTAATATCATGTTACATAACAAAATTACTCATTCAGTATTTAATAACAATAGATTACACCATAAACTGAATTTAGATAGATAAGCATTGTTTAGTGTCCTTCAGTTTTTAATGTTTGTCTAACTGACGACAATATATATTCCCAACTATCTTCATATTGAACAATCTTCACAAATCGATCAACCTAATTTGATTAAAATTTTAATAATCCCATATACTAGAAGGGTTTACAAAGAGAACTTAGCTAATTACACAATCCTATTTTCACAGATTGAAATCATGAGTCAATTGAAGCTAGATCACCATGGAAAACCTGGAAGCACTGGATGGCCGTTTGTGAGATATCAGCTCACTGAAGACAATGGTACACGGTGGAGCAACTTCATGAATTGGTTGAAGTTAGACATTAACACTGTTGGATGCCGGCCGGCTCAGTGGTCTAGTTGGTTAAGCGCTTGGCGCGAGACTGATAGTTCCTGGGTTCGAATCTTGCGGGTTGCATGATCGTGGATGGGCACTGCTGAAGAGTCCCATACAAGGACGAAACAGCCGTCCAGTGCTTCCAGGATTTCCATGGTAGTCTAGCTTCAATTGACTCATGATTTCAACCTGTGGAATTTCTAAAATCTGCACAAACCCATTCTGGTAACAATCCTATTTTTTTAAATCATCTATATATATATATATATATATATATATATATATATATATATATATATATATATATATATATATATATATATGATTATAAAATAGTTCTGGATTAGTACTAATCGTTCGATTTCTTCATGAAATAGAAAACCGCAAAATCATTATCATAAGGAAGTCTTCATTATCCTGTATTTTATAGAATGAGCATGACAATTAAAGTAACACCTAATAAATTTTTCTTGTGTTTATAAATTATATTTAACAGATAATACATTAATTTTTCGATGTAGTAACTTTATTTTTGAGTTGACATATTTTTTGTCCACCACAGAAATATCTTTCAAAATAAACTACGACTATTCTTATCGATTGTGTTCGTTCAACTGAAATGTGTAAAATTACACTAAACTATATTTAAATTAATAGCTTTTACAAGACAAACTACTATCTTAGATAAATCGTATTCTTATCATTAATTTAATTCCTTACAAAAAGTCAATTCATGAAAGACAATAACAGTTTCTAATCACCAATACAACCTGGCCTAATACTCCTTTTTGAAAAAAAAACAACAACTAAAATTGAACTCGAAAGTAGTTTGTTCATTTTAACTAAGTAAAATTATGAAATGAACGTACGAAATTCAGAATGGTTATTTTTTTAAAAAAAAAGACCATTAATCTTCAGCTTTTAATGAAAAGCTATAGATGTCACAAAGAATTGATATATCTGGATTTGCTGTGAATTTTATCAAATATTTGGTTGAGGCACAGTTGTCAGAAGTATGATAGAGAAGCGTGAGATGAACAATATCGATGATTGAGAAATTGAAACATCGGTTGTTCCTTTAAATATTCTACTGCCAAATGTCATTGGGAATGTTCGGGACACAAACTTGATCTAAAATTATTATCTTAAAACTGAGTCGATTTCTGTTCAGGTAAAGATAGAAATTTACTTATTGTTAATATCAGTAGAAAAAGGCTTTCATATATTGAACATACGACTGGTTGTAAATCATAGTGACATTATTAATTCATATACTCGAATAATGTTAGTAATATTACTTAATAAAAATGAAATACATGGATACTAAAGTAACAAGAGTTTCAAGATAATCCAAAAAAAACTATTTGCTGTAGATAAACTAAGGGATAATATCTTGTAGGGTTAATGTGGGAAACTAGTAGCCATGACAATTATATGCCATAAAGCTAGTGCTCTGCACTGCAAAATTAGCCTAGTTCTTACACAGTGATGAGATACAGCACACATTGGAATGATTCAAGATTATGACATCATGAAGATATTGATATGCTTTTATAATTGTTTTATGTCAACTGACATTATTTTTATTAACATATTAGATATTTCTTTACGAATAGTCCATTCTCTATGATTCTGATAGGTAGGAGAATCTGAACGATAGCGGAATTGTGATTCATTGGTTGAGAAATTTAACGTTTATCTGTTGTTCCGAGTTCGAACCTGATCTCACATATGGTGATCTGGCCAGTCACATACTATCACCATCTATCACACACACTATATGATTCAAATTCTTACTCCAGAAACTGTATAATGTTATTCAAATACGTGATGTAGCATTTACAATGTATTAGTTAAAATTATTATCAACGAATGAGGAGTGTATCCATAATATCTGACGAATATCAATAGCCATGCACAACAATATATACTACCAATAAATATTTTTTCATTATCGTCTAAGATAAAAATGTTGTAATAAGAAATTTTCGGATTTCATAACATAAGAAATTTTATTTGTTATATGGCTGGAGGCAACTGACAGGAACATTTGGAACTGAGTTTCCTGCTAGTGGGAACTTCTAGGCAAAGTGTATCTAAAATCTTGAGGAAGACGATGCTCCTCGTGATATTAGAATGGGAGCCATCCAGATATCACAGTAATCTAGCATTCGGGTCACGACTAACCTTCTATAAGACAGATGATTTTCAACTGATTTATCACTGAACAAATTAAATAATGCTATATCCTTAGTGCTTATCGTATTGTATTAAAGAGTACTGAAATCATGAGAACGCAGATAGGCCTAGCTGTCAAGCAGTAAACTGGCACAAAAGCTAGCTTCAGGACTTCCTCTTGATTTTCTTCAACAGGTTAAAATCAAAACATAATCAACAGGCGAAATCAGACGAATTAGATTAGAAGGGGAAGTCACAATGTAAATTGATCAACGGAATACAATCACTGATGATCACTAGATAAACATCAATTAATACTCCATGTCCGATCAATATAAAATTGTGTTGTCTAACCAATATTACTTGAGATAACGTTACAGTGTGCTTCTACTTTGATCCCCTTTAACAATTCTACTTCACATACATATTGTTCGCTAATAACAACGATAATACAAAACAAATTTATCTTAATTGTTGAACTTTTCTTGCTTAAATAAGAGATGACATAAGAAAAAAAGAAAGATAAAGAGAGCATCAAAAGTTTTTTTTTAAAAGTTTCATTGTATCACGATTATTGTTATTATTATCATGAACGAAATTGCATTGGCTTTATTTTGTATGGGCCAGAAATATCATAGGAATTAAACAAAATAGAGTGATGAGAAAAATACAAACAAAACAGTGATACACAAGAGAGAAATCAACACAGATAATAAACACATGTCATAGCAATCACAAATGACAGATCAAGAAAATGATAGTAATAATAATTTTCTGATATATTTCAGGGGGAATGGAGAGGGGGCCAAAAAACTAACAAAATAATTATTAAAACAATAAGTCTATTAAAATAATCATGATTTCCTAACTCAATCAATACATAAATAAAAGATAAAATAATGACATTGATCGTTGTATAATCTCAGTGATGGATAATAAACACAAACAAATGTATGCGTATGAAAGGTGGGATGGGACTAGGCAATAAAGTTTCCTAACAAAAATATTAAAAAAAACTGTTTGCAAAATAATAAGTCAAAGAAAGAAAGCATGAAAGACAAAACCAGAAACAAAAACAGTAAAAAGAATGAGAATAACCAAATAAAAGTGCCAACGGTACTTCATAGTAACACGCACACATACAGACAGTGATACAAGCAAGCATACAAACACATTTAGTAGATAACATAGTATTTATCATTATCAACGCTTTTTCGATTTGGTTCAATAGATCAATGCACTATTATTAGTGAAATTGTCAAATGTATACGACTGTTGATGGTGATGATGTAATAACAATGGTTGAGACTGTTGCTGTTGTTGTTGTTGATAATCAAGATGATATTGACTATTTTGATGATAATATTGTGGATCAAGACTTAATAATTCATAATTGTTATAACATTGAAATCTATTAGAATTTTGAAACATATAATTTTTACCGTAATCAATGAAATCATCCTCATCCTCATCATTATAATTATCGTTATCAATATGATTATCCGTATAATCATATACATGTTTATCGAAGTGATATTGGTCATTATTAATTGTAGAAAAATAACGATTATTTATGAAATTTTTGAATTGTAATCCATTTATCATATGATTGAATGGTTCATTTGAATGATTGACATTATTAGAGATCGGATTGAATTCATTTGTATCTTTATTGTTAATTGGTGGATATAAACGAGCTGATATGGAGAAAATACAAAATTAAGAAGGGGAAACAAAAACAATTATATTTTTATGTGAATACGAATTAACACTATTTTTCTTCTACGATCGAATGATTTCTATAAATAAACACTGAGTGATTGGGATGTTCACTTATATAACTGATTTAGAATGATTTAAATGTGGTAAGACAGGGTAATAAACTCTTTTGAATGGATTGTCCGAGTCTCGCTTTCGCCAATTTCATGAACTCAGAAGTGAATGATCGAAATCATATTTAACACTGTTGTAGCTTATACTCAACCAATTATTAAGCAACGAGTTCATGATGATGACATTTGTTGAGGTTTTATACAAACTGCTTACTAGTTAATTACGTCATTGTTATTAAAGATTACTAATTCGCTGGTATGTTGTTCCACCTGTTCGTCAAATTTGTTGACCACGATCTCAACACCATAAATTTCTCTGGTTTCAACCTTATGATCTACTTTTTACAAAGTCTCTAGATAATATTCATTGAAATGAAAGAAAAAACACAACTGATCTGAAACAATTTGTAGAAAGATCAGATACTTTTTTAATTTTTAAAGGTTGTCGAATGAATCCTCAAATAGGCTAACATGAAAACGTTTGAGATGGCTATCTTATTCTAATTTTTCAATGATGGTTCTGTTTATTGTCAGTTTGTAATGAAGACTATGTTGAACGATATAGTAGTTAATCCTTATTTGTTAATTTAAATATGTGAAGTGTGATCAGCCATCGGGTAGATAACTCAGTAAAACTATGCAAACGTTAGTGGATTTGAGTTAGAGACATATTGTGTATTTCTTAGTGTTAGTACCTGGCTATCTAAACTGATAGAGGTGAAATACAAAATCACAATTGTGTGGTTGAAAGTTTATTATTTACAGTAATTTCTAACTAACAACAGCAGGAAATCTGTATTTTATAAACTTATAATCTAAAAAGCTACTTGCATAAAACAAAATTAATCTGAAGTAGTTTGACTGTTATTCAACGAAAAGAGTAATGGAACAAATAAAAATATATAAATAATATTAAATAATAACATCATATATCGATATACTCACGCTTTTTATGAGGAATAAAATACACATCGTCGAATTCTGTATGGACAACATCATTAATTACTGGACAAATATGAGCCTGTGGAAGAAATGTTGGCCTGTAACCCTTTGCCGAATAATCAAAAATATTCACCGAAGTATTACTTGATTCGATATGTGGCTTTTGGACAAAACAATGTGAATTTGAGTTATTGAAACAGCGGCCATGACAATTTGCGTACGGATGATAATGACTGTGATCTGAAAATTTAGACATTTTTATATTATTGAGTAGATTGTGGTTAGATGGATCCCTCTGATATTCACATTGCTCAGAAGAACTGAACAGTTTATCGGGTAAAATTTGTTTGAATGCCTAAAGTAATTTAACGAGAGTTTTAGTTGGAATTATTGGTGTTAGAAATGTGAAAAAGAAATTTCTAATACAAAATGAGTAAAACAAAAAACTGGAGGAATTTTCTAAAGGAAAATAGAGGTTTTAATAAATAATTTATTTAGACATTCAGTTTATGAAATCCTGAATTCACAAAAAAAATTACAAACGAAAAGGATCTACTTTGGCAAAGCTAATCTTTGAACTTTTGGAGTTTCGTTGACAAATGTTTCAAAATGTAATACAAGCTCCACGACATTGCCATGAACATACATTCAGATAAATGGAAAGTAGTACGATATATGTGTATGATATTTAGTATTGTTTAGGTTGTAATATATTATATATTTTTTAATAAGTATAAAAGTCTAATTCCATTAGCTGTTATCATTAGTAGTACCAACATACATTTCTGTTGTACTAAGGAAGGCTATCTGTGTACGAATCACACTACCACTGATAAGTTATCGAGTAGTGGTGATAATGAATACAAGCACTTCACTATAATGTGTTGTAGAGATTGTTGACTTTGAAGTTTCATATTACGGACTGATTCTGGTTGAACAATCACTGGAAGTAAGAAAACACTAAACAGCCATTTTGTCCTAGTATGAGGGTCCTCAGTGGTGTTCATCCACTATTCTGTCGTGGGTTAAACCCAGCTCTTTCATGCACTGGTTAGCTGCACAATGTGACGAGTTAATTGAAGTTGAACATGTGAACTGTTGGATCCCAGTTCAATGGTTTAAAGCTCATTGACTTGCCAAGGGAATTAAGTGTCCTGAGGTTGGTGGTGAATGAAACTGAGAAGTCCTATACTCAGACGAAACAACTGTCCAGTACATCATGGTTTCTTGTGGTTATTTAACGAAGAACATTCTGTGACATAAACAATAAAATTGGGAATATTTGGCAATTTGACAAAATAGCATAATAGAAAAGATTTTCTTGAAACATCTTCATGAAAAAACCTATGAAGGATTCCAGTTATGCAGTAATAAATGCTATCAATTATTTACAGAATCTAGATAAGTAAAAGGAGAATAAAGCGAATAGCTTTATAGTTATGTTTCATATTAAGAAGAAAAGTATCTCAGAATCATTATTATATGTTAGATAACAATTATATTGACCGATATTTTTATTGTATGTTAACCATACCGACCATTGCTGCTATCTTGGCGTGGTGGTCAAGCCTGCCTATCGTAATGAAACAATCGGACTATACTGGCTGGAACGATCCTTCTTCAAGGTCCTACCATGTCAGGCAGGTCGGTTGAAGAGCGATAGGACTAAAAGCAGCAAACCCAAGGTCTGAGGGCGAAGTCATAATGCTGACTGTACAGAGGTGTGGCTGCAGTAAGAAGGTCTTTCCTTCAGACAACAAGCATAACAGCGATGCTGTCGTCCCACAAAGGAACGGCGGAGTTAGAAAAGGTTGATCTTAAAAATGTACACCTTCACTTATCTCACAAATTTCCGTCTCCGGTAGTCAGGTCCCAGCAATTGCGGAGCTAACACGAAAACTATTCGCGAAAAGTTCGTGTGTGACAGGCCTCAAGCAGTTGTCCCTTGGACACTGCGGTCAAGCTCTCAGGTCGCTAAGACCACCATTAACCCAATTTACTTTGCAGGTACTTGTAGAAGAACCCTTCCACGGTGTAGGCAACTGGAAAGTGATAACTGCCCTCATACCTCTAATACTGTAATCATAATCAGTCTCCCTCTTCAATTCCCATTATTCATCCTATGTCGACTTTCAACTCTAAACATCTTCTTTTGACTTCCTCAAGTGTCACCATGGCTAACGATCCTAGTACACAAAACGCTGTCCCAGGTCTACTAAAACCTCGCTCCAAACTACACATTGGAGCCTTCAAAGTGGGTATCCTGTGTCAAATCGGCCAGCAAGTCTCCTTGACTAAAACCCTAGAATCTCATACCGCTGATGTATGTTGTGTCTCCGAAACGCACATACAGGATCCTAGTGTGGTCACTCACTTGACCTTATCTCGCCAAAACGGAGAGCCGACAAGATACCCCTTCCGATTACCTGACGACCCGATGGCCAGTTCTCGTGGACTGGCAGGTGTAGGCACAGCACTAAGTACGAGGGCAGAACAAACATTACTAGGATGGATCCCTGTTAACAGTCGCCTATGTGTTGTCCGGATAAACGGCTGCGTAAGGATAAGGACACACGTCGTTGCCTTTTCGTCGTTTCTACCTACACTTCCACTAACTGCAGCCCAGATCAAGTGAAAAATGAATTCAACAGAAGGCTTTCTGAACTTCTTCAAAAAGCTCAACACTCAGACATAGTGCCTGTAGCAGGGGACTTTAATGTCTAAGTAGGTAGCTTAAACCAAACAGAAAGACATTTAGACGGGTATTTTAGTATTCCGGTTCATCGGATAGATAATGGTGACCGTCTGTTGCAACTGTGCTCAGACAAACGTTTATTTTTAGCAAACACTAATTTTGAGCATAAGGAGAGACATCGTCTAACATGGCGATCCCCTGCACAAAACTAACGATAAAATCAAATAGACCATATTGCCATCAGTCATCGTTAGAGAGGCTCGATAGAAGACTGTTGCTCGTTCTGGAATACATGTTTAGACTTGGATCATGCTCTAATACGAGCACGCATTTGCTTGTGCCTCACTGGACACATAAAAACATATTAAAACCCATTAGAGTTGAAATCAGTGACGAGAAAGCCATAAGTAGATTCCAGGAACAATTAAAGTTACACTTAAGCAATTCTGAAAACGAAGCTGACCCATATGTTGTTTAGGAAGATATACGAACGGCTGTGGATACAGCAGCGACACTTATTAGTGAAAAACCAGTGGGATTCTACAAAGTCTATTGCACAGATGGATTCTCATAAACTCATCCCATCAGGCTCTGAACACGATAAAGAACGAAAGCAAATCAGATCTAGGTTAACCAAAAGTATAGGGAACGATTGTGAATAGTGGTGGGCAACGAAAGCAAAAGAGGTGGAAAAGGCAGCCGCTTTAGGCAACACCAGACAGCTTTCCAGACTTACAAAAGAATCTGGAATTAAGAAGATAAGTGTGAGACGACATCGGAAAAAGATTACACTTATCTGCTCTCAGTCCAGACATTTAGAACGATGAGCGGAACACTTTGAAGAGCAATTCAGATGGCCCTCAGCTACCCACTATTCTGAAACAGCCTGAATGGAACATTAAAAAAAAGCCTCCTGACTCTAATTGGAGTTCGAAGCTGTAGATAATCTGAGACGAGGAAGAGCAGTTGGTCCAGATGTCTTTAAGGATGATTGTCCAGGTTTAACGATTAGGTTGAATATTTTAGCTAAAACCCGGGAACTGAATGTAATCCCATCTGACTGGTCTCAATCATTAATTGTCCCAATATATAAGGAGGGGTCAAAATCATCCAGCGATAACCATAGAAGGATTAGTTTGACTAAAAGCATCTAAAATACTACTATCAATAATTATCGGGCGCCTTACAAAGACACTTGGATTGCAAACACGAGAAAATCATGCTGATTTCAGACCTGTTCGTGGCTGCATCGACCACATAATTACCGTTCGTTAGGTTCTAGAACACGGGCACGCTTATCGGTGTTTAACAATGATAGTTTTTCTTAACTAAAAGCAGCACTTAACTCTGTAGACCGAGAGGTTCTGTGGTATTGTCCATGATTGGAAGGTGTACCTCAGAAGTACATAAACCTTGTGAAGGCTCTTTACTTGAACACTACAAGTCCAGTCAAATTTTATGGAGAAATGTCATCTGTTTTTGCGACCTCAATTGGTGTCCGGCAAGACTGTCCATTATCTCCGCTTTTGTTCAATTCCATCATAAACCTACGGCTGGAATTAACGTTCTCGTCGACTGAATATTCGAAAATTGATATCCTCCTCAAAATGTGAATTTTTGCTGCAGAACTGGCCTGCATCAACACCTGAACTAACGATAGGGAGTGAAGTAGTCGAATGAGTCGACAACTTCACTTATCTTTGATGTTTGATCAGTTCTAATGGGTTGATGCCTGACGAAATCTCAGCAAGGATTCAAAAACCTCGTTTAACTTTTGTCAACTCACGTCACCTATGGCTAAGGCAAGATATCCGTCTATCAATTACAGGACGAGTACACTCTGCGGCAGTTCGTTCTGTTCTACTTCACGGCTGTAAAAAATGACCATTAAGAGTAGAAGATACTCGTAAGCCATTAGTATTCGACAACAGATGTCTTAGAAATATTGCTCGCATCTGCTGGGATCACCTCACCTGGTAAGTAATAGCGAGGTTAGACACAGGGTATTAGGAAATGATGGTAAACCAGTTGATGAGGTTGCGAACCTTCGTCGACTGAGATGGTCGGGCCACGTGTTACGTATGCGTGAACACCGATTATCATGACGCACAATGCTGACTACTGTTGGGGATGGTTAGAAGAAAGTTAGGGGCAGTTAAACCAAATCGTGGCATCAGTCCTTCGAGTCACTAACTTCTGGTCTGTGCCATGTTGGTAGATGCAGACTACTTGGTTGGCGTCCGAGCCACTATCGTAACCAATGGTTGGAGATCATAGGTTACATGGCTGAGAATCGATCACAATGGCGTCGGTGTATACACTATTTGTCTGTCCTTAGACGGTGAAATTAAAGTTGCTTCATACCTTTCTTTCTCTGAACTTATTCTTTCTTCCTGTTTTATATTCTTATACACAATCTTTCTTTTATATATTACTACCATTGAAGTAACTTTTTCTATGAATTTGTTTTTCATCTTGTTGTGCTGATGAGGTGTGGCAACTTGAACCGAAGCATATATGTGCCTGGTCCCACGTTGTAACTGACTGACTATAATAACTATGAGTAATACAAATGAATGTTAAGTGTGGTATAGTGTTATTAGATGATTTTTAATTACTGAAGAAACAGGTTCAAGCTAATTACCATTTGAATCAACTCGAAATAGTAGTGACCATACAGTAAGTTTTTGTATAGAAAAATCATTGTATAATTAAGGTCAATCTGTAAAATAAAAACTTTTAATTCCCAATAAATACTAATATATGTTTATTGGGCAAAAAACGTTTACATGTTCAGACATAGGCTACTCACAATTTATTCCCTAAAGTGCTACAAATTAATAAAAAAGAACTATCGTTAATAAACAAGCAGCTAATAACCACTGTATTATTTTAAATAATGTAAGTTAAATTGATAAGTTATTGGATTGATTAAATGAATCCGAAAACATATTTCTGTTTTTATCTTCTAATACCGTTGTATTTATAATGATAAAATGTCGATTTCAATCTATATAGAACTATATTCAAATACTTTGTCTTGGAAAGTAATAAGGATATATTAAAAATGATATGTACTTTCTTATTGTTTCTATTCAAGAGTGGAAGTGACCAGTCTCTACTGAAATATATACACCCTTAGTGGATTGCCTAGATATCGCCACTCAATTACAAGTGCTGGTAAAGTTAGATTGCGGTTAGTTTTGGGATCCGTATGGAATATTTCTTTCTGTGTGTGAATTGTCAGCTAAATGTACCTAGGTTTGGATTGACGTTCACACTGAAACTCGAGATCAGTACTTTTCATTTCAAATGCCAACGTGTCATCCACTATTAAGCTACTGAGTTCACATAACTGATCTGTTTGAAATGTATGAATAACAACAAAAATAAAACACGAAGTCTTACACATAAATTCGCATTCACTATCCTCGACTATGTTTTATACAAAACAAAACGAGAACCATACGACAGTGACAAAAAAAGCATTTTTGTCCTATAAACCTTGAATATTATTAAAATGTAAGTATGTTAATATAATGTATATTTGTATGACAGGTCAATTGCTCTGAGTATATTACACAAAAAGGTCTGAAATGAATATGAGATTGAGAAATATAAATGAGTTTATATACCAGATTGATGTATACTGACTGTATAGACTTCGAAACTTGAATCTTAAAGATATGTTGAACATGAATTGTCCAAATATCATAGAATAATGAATAAACTTACTTGACTTGACTGTGATCCCACATTACAACTAACTACAGGATTCATTCTAGAATCAGTTGTATTTGTTGAACATGAATTACCAAACTTATTATAAATTACATCTTGAAGTAAAGACGAACTATGGGTACACAATTTAGTCGTTGAACAAGATAAATTTGTAATAGTTTTCTTCATTGAATCAGAACTAGTATTATTAACATTAGTGACAACAGAATGTTCAGAATGATTGAACAAACGATGTTCATCTGATTTCGTTTTCAGTCCGACTGTACTTAAAGTGAAAACTTCTTGATCATTTGTAATACGTATGTCGTTTTCTCTTGATGTAGTAGCATAACTTTGAAAATGTTGAGAGGGAGGTAAAGAAATGGATGAATTAAATGACAGTCCAGACGATATTTCCTTTGCATTAGATGGTGAAGATGATGGAATCAATGCATCCAATTGATTTGGTTCATCTGACCGGAATATAGGATAGCCTAAACAAAATATAATAGCGAACAAATAGTCTATTAGAAATCTACATTTTCTAGAAAAAAAGTATTGAAACAGCTAGAACTTAGGAATCCGATTGAAATCACAAATAAAAGCGGGAACAATATCGAATATTTCTCTAGATTAAACAGTTTTCTTATTTATATAATTCTGAAATGAAATCTATCGTTAAACATCAATTACAGTCTATGCATCTATGTGAATATGTCAATACTTACTTACGCCTGTTACTCCCAATGGAGCATGGGTCGTCGGCCAGCATTCTCCAACACACTCTGTCCTCAGCCTTCCAATCTAGTTCTATCTAATTGTTGTTCATTCTTCTCATGTCTGTCTCCATTTCTCGACGTAATGTGTTTTTTGGTCTTCCTCTCCTCCTTTGGCCTTGAAGGTCCCTTGTGAGGGCTTGCCTTGTGACACAGTTGGGTGCTTTCCTCAATGTGTGTCCTATCCACTTCCGTCGCTTCTTCTTGATTTCTTCCTCTGGTGGCATCTGGTTTGTTCTCCCCACAGTAGGTTTTTGCTGATAGTGTCTGATCAACGGATCCGAAGTATTTTACGTAGACAGCTGTTAATAAACACTTGTATCTTCTGGATGATGGCTTTTGTAGTTCGCCAAGTTTCCGCCCCATACAGTAGAAGTCTTGACATTTGTATTGAAAACTCTGACTTTGGTGTTGGTTGACAGTTGTTTTAAGTTCCAGATGTTCTTCAGTTGTAAATATGCTGTTATTGCTTTGCCGATTCGCGCCTCCACATCAGCATCAGATCCATCATGTTCATCAACGATACTGCCCAGATATGTAAAGGTTTTTACATCTTCCAAAGCTTCCCCGTCAAGTGTGATTCGATTGGTGCATGCTGTGTTCTATCGGAGAATCTTGCTGTCCATTGTATCCCATGCTTCTCCTCAATGAAGTTGATGTAGAGTGATGAATATTATTCAATTGATTGTTCTACAATGATCAGTAGTGTTGCGGTTTGGTCGACACACGATCGATTTCTACGGAATCCAGTCTGTTGGGCTCGAAGTTGGGCGTCTGCGGAATCCTTCATTCTGTTTAACAATACCCTGTTGAAAACCTTTCCTGATATTGAGAAAAGAATAATGCCTCCGTAATTCTCACACTTACTGAGATCGCCTTTCTGTTGAATCTTGGTCAGGTGTCCATTTTCCCAGTCTGTTGGCACTTTTCTTCATTCCAAATCTTGCTGAAGAGAATGTTAAGTATCTTTGCAGCTGCTCCCACGTCTTCTTTCAGTGCTTCTGCTGGAATATTGTCTGGTCTCGCTGCTTTGCCGCTCTGGATTTGTCTGATAGCTATGCTGATCTCTTCAATTGTTGGTGGGCCAACATTGATTGGGAGGTCCGTGGATACTGCTTCGATTTTGGGTGGGTTCAGTGGGGCTGTGATCAAGTCAATGGTGTAAGGAAAAAACTACCAACCTATTTCTAGGACAATAAACTTTTTTTCCTGAATATCGAAGTACAGAAATGAGCTTTCGGAGAATAGAAAAACTAGTGATTTTATTATCAATGTTAAAGTTGATAACTTTAAATGTAGATGTTAACACTTTAAACCTACAAACAGACCCCTATACCATTGTTGTGTTTGTAAATAACTGCTTACACAAAATTGATGCCATAAACTATGCTTCGTATAACATATCTAGACACAAATGATTGATTTGAAACAGATTAGTACATTTTCTTATATTTGAGATGAATGGTATTTGTGTATACTAATTAGTGTATAGTATTTCGAACCTACAGGAAAGAGAAAGTCATAGTAATCATGGTCAGACGATCATGTGTTTACTACGGGTATTATTTATACTTAACATACACAAAGGTGTGGTTAGAAAACAAAGAATGTGAAAATGTAGTATTGAAGTTTACCATTTCATCACATATCGCTAGTGAGTGATTTTAAAATGGAAGTTGACATAGAGGTGGTTAAATTATTAGACTCTGGCAATCACTGATTTAATATACGGTTCATGTAGCTTTATACCAGTTACTTTGATTGGTTTAGCTTGATGAATAATAAAAAATCGATTAGACAGGATGAAACACAACTAACAAGGTAGAAAAAAATCATTGTACAGACTCGTGCCTGTCTCTTTTGTAAGAAGAAAAAAGAGGAAATAAATAGGAGTTAATTTTTTTTCCAATTAAGTCATCTGTTAGGCGTTTGGGTATGTATGAACTATTGAAACTACCTGGTTGCCCAAACCGAAGGTGGAGCGGAATTCGAAGCTAAAGTTTTGTGGGTGAAAATTGAACGCCTAAACCACTAGGCCACTGCTCTATTCTAGTAGGATATGAAAAAAGAACATATGTAGTGTTATGCAATAACTTTTAATACTTCTGTTGTGAACTAGTAAAAACACAAATTTTAGAACAGATTTTTCTAGAAATATAGTAAAAACGGTAAATTTTGTATGAAAGCAGCTGACTAACCTTGAACATAAGATGATACTGGAATCGAGATGTATTGTGATTCATATGAATCGGATACAAAATTAGTAGTTCCATACTCGCATTTCATTTGATTACTGTTATTATCAGGCTTTGTCACGAGGTCTTGTTGACCAGTTAGTGTTGTTTTTAATAATCGAGATGTATACATTGATGAATCAGACGTAGAATCATTATATCCATGTAAATGTTCATAGTTAATTAGTTCGGATTGAGGTTGCTTGGCAACATTGAGACGATTGAATGTCTCTTTTTCAATAGTCAATGAACTTTCCGATAAATCATTGCAATGATAGAAACTGTTCAAAATATAAATAAATAAACATCAAAAAGAAGGAAATTGATAATATGAAATATGAGAGAGGGAAGTAATTTGTTCACTATGATACCAAACTGATAATTTACGAATAAGTAAATAGTTGAAAACAATTAAAATCTGAACGTATGTTCAGTGGTTAAGTTATGACTGAGCTGTTAAAATATATTTCACATTCACTGTAGTCGTAATATACTCAAGGATAATGTAACTTTGCACCACAGATCATATATAAAATGAATTCAATCTAAGTTTTATTGTACACTTTAACCTGAATTTTGTTCTGATATGTTTACTCAGTTTGAGCTGAATGTGTACGCGGTTTGCTCAACTATATACTAATATATGACGTTCTGTTCATTATCTTACTAGAAAGTATTATCATTTCGTTGCATTTATGAACTCTTTATGACAATGTATATTTGTGTGAATTAATATAATCAGTTATGAATTGAACAATACTGTTAAACCGTGTGAGAAGAATACTATAGTACAATTACTACTGTAGTAGGAATAAAGCACGGATAGAAGGAATGTTTATTTAGTGAAAGTATTCCTTATATCCTCAAAATTACAGAGTATTTATGCAATTTGTACACCTAGTCTTCAGTTATCCATTTGCATTTTGTTGTATGTTTTATAATCCAAACTGATTCTAAACTGACTTCTTTCATGATATCCAAAGTATTCTGCATACGCTGTTCTTTTAAGCCTCCTGAAAGTCTTTTCTTTAGGTTTCGACTGTAGTAACTTCCACGTGATGTCCCGCTACATAATATTTATAAAATTATCTTATGAGTTGGATTCACCAAATTATTACTACCATTAGTTCACATATTTACTATAAAGCCTAAAGTAAACATGAATTGGTTTTAATGAAAATTATGTAAATTTAATCAAGACATAATCTAAAGAATTCAGACCACATAGTGTTTATGCCAACTAATTTCAATTATATTAGATTAACAATAACATACAAAAAGTTGACTGATTTTTATAATAAGTAGTTAGACAAAATTCTATTCACATATTGTATCGTTAAATTAGGTTACATAAATGAAATAGAACAGATGAATCAATATTAAAAATGAGAAATTCTGAATCATAAAATCTAATTAATAAATTAAAGTATTTATATAATTTAATGTATAAAAAAAGAATTCGTTTCATTATTGTTCAAAAAATTTTTTTCTGTTTTTTTTTTAAAGGAACCGGATATCAACAAGAGAATATTTAGATTGACCAATGAATAATAATAATAATACTTAAATATGGATTTTAGAGAGTTGAACAAGAATTAATTGAGTAAACCTATCATGGATATAATAATTTCATTGTTGTTTATCAGCAAAAAAAACACACACACATACAAATCAATAAATAATTCGAAACAAAATATATTCGAACTTTTCTATTACATGGTAACAAAAACTAGAAATCATATAAATAACATGAATCTATTATAATTTATTAATTTAATTAATAAATTCTTTCAACTTCATTCATATTTGTAGAAGAAGAAATATTTTATTCTTTTTGAAAATAATACAATATACAATGAAAAGATTGAATGTATTCCACGTGAAAAAATAGTCTATGATTGTGACTAGAACGAATAAAACAAACAAACAAATAAATAAACTAATGGTCTTATCCGAAAAAATAAAGTCACACGTTATCATTTAATAAAAAATAATTATAATTATATATGAATAACTAAATATGAACTAATAAGAAAATAACATTGACTTTTATTTTCCTCTGGTTTCTATGTCACTTGCTCTCTCTCTCTCTCTCTTGTCTAGAATAGGGTGTGTTCTATGTTTTCTTTAAAATACCATATTTTAATTAGTTACCAAAGTGAGTAGAAATAAAGAGAAAAAAATGTAGAAAATCATCAAACATGTCACCTGTTTAATTTATATTAGATAGAATTATAATGAATTAATGAAATTATATACAAGTAAAGGTTGAAGTATTATGAAAAAAAATAGAAAAAGAAAATGAATTGTTTGTGAAAAATGTCACGCTATAAATGATAAATATATGGTGAATAATTTTTTTTAAATATTTCTGTTGAAGATGTGGAAAAATAAAATATAACCTTAGTGAAATAAACAACATCGTGGATGCGCACTGCTGAAGAGTCCCACAATAGGACGAAACAGCCGTCCAGTGCTTCCAGGTTTTCCATGGTGGTCTAGCTTCAATTGACTCATGATTTAAACTGTTGAAATTACTACAATCTCTACAAAACCCGGAATGATTTCAAATCGAAGATAGGGTCACTATGCAGATTACTTTTTTGGCAATAAAAATATGCTTATAAACAAGTTATTAACAGGAAATCAGAATGACTGTGTCAGAAATGATTAGAGGACGTCAGTAAATCAGTCAAACGTAGAACCTACACGTATGTACATCGGTTCAAGTTTCTATATCCTATTAGCACATATGTCAGTCTGTAGGTCAAATTAATCAAGACCTGATTGTTAGGCCAAATTATTGGGTATCGCATCAATAATATCTAACACGATGTGGCAAGTTAAGCTAATGAATTATTAGTGTATTGAAGATTCTCATTAGAGTATCTCAAAGCATAAATTCACTGAAATATTTCGTCTTATTTATGTTACAACTCTCGGTTTCTAAGTCTACACGAATGGGACGTTAACTTACCTTAGACGAATATCTACACTAGATTCCCTCCCAGTGTCTATTCTACAGGACTTCAACACAACTCAGATCAAGAACACGTGATTAGCCTGACCAGGACGCAAATATATTTCCACACCAAAAACCGACACATAATAATTATATATATATATTACTTTGAGAAAAATTCTACTGATAATTTCATCTACACAAACAGATTAAAGGGATATCAACAAATATCTTTAAAAAAACAATATGCACCATTTGATCACATGGAGGTGATAGATATTCATTCATTTCACACATGGTTTACATGAAGTAAACACATCATTACTGTACACATATTGTGGCATCAATCTACGTAATTATACTAGTTAATAAATTTAATCCTTAGCGTTTAACGTTTAACAACATGTAATAAAACCATGTAAGACTCAATAAAATCCTATTGACTATAAGATCTATGGAAACTATGAAGTGTACAACATTTCTAATGAAAGTGGACATAAACTAGAGGAAATAGCTACTAATCTATTATTTATTTGAACATACAAATACTGGTACAAGGGGGCACCAGATACATATGCGCCACACAAATCTCTTTTGATTTATGTGAGGGCTTTGATACTGCCCGGGTGCCCAAACCGAAGCAGGTACAACAGATTCACTACAAGAGAAATGGTTTTTTATGACTGAATGGAATTATTCCCAGTATTTTCCACATATTTTATAATTAACGTCTTTCATATTTCCCAATAGACAGAATTTCACATTAAAAACCAAGAGATAATGGATCCACGATAACAACATTAACATATCACTGTATCGTAATTAGTTTTATGTAGGAAATAAATTAGATACAGATCTGTTTGAACTATGTTACAATTGTATCCATAATCAATGGAGGTCGAATACAATTACATAAACTAAATAAATGATAGGATACTTATTGTCAGTTATTTTGTCTTTGGAATGCTGTCATTCTACTTAATATTGAATTCACACTTATGTCAGTTGAAAATAAGGTTCATAATTTGATGTCAATTTAATAGGTTAGTGCAAATCTGAAAACTAATTATACACTTAATATAAATGCATACGATGCCAATGAATCAGTGAAATTGTTTACTTCTGTTGCATATATGATAGATTTTCTTATTTGTTATCTTTTTAATGTTGACGGCAAATGTCGCATTTTATGTCAATTTGGAGTTTTCACTATTAATACACTTGATATGTAGACAAAAGAAGTCTAATCAATAATTGTATGTAGATAATCACAACACGGATTAACTTTAAAGCCTAAAACTGGGTAGTTGAATGCAATTTTACGATCACTCAGAAGTGACTAATTTATAAAATGATCTATCGTTCAGTTTTATATGGAATAAGTGATTTAGTTACATGAAGAGACAGTGGGAAAAACTAGTTTAATAAACAATTTAGAAATATCTCCCATGCTTTAATATCTATGTAACACTTCTCTATACGTAAAACTGTTAAAACCAGATAATCACACGATCCGTACCCACAGAAAATGAAGCGGCTGAAAATATCAAACGATTAATCAGCATACAATACATAACATAAATATAGACTAATATTTTACCAAATCAAATTAGGTATAAATACAAATATAAAGCTTAGGTTAATAAAATCGTCGAAAATAAAATTTTCTTCGTTGAATTGACCTAATCTTCAATGACACAATGCATCTCTTTCATTATTTGTGATTAAGTTGACTTGTTAATACTGCCATAAGAATTGGTTGCAATTGGCTTAGTTTAACGTACATAATATCAACAGTGGAGGTTGAGTATTACATAGTCTTATAAACTTCTAAAACTTAGTTCAATTACAACAAGGTACTAAGACCATAATAAAATAGGGAGTAAACTAATCTCTTTTAAAACATAAAGATCAAGTTTCACTGAGTTAATTGTTAAACTTCCAATCATACACAGATTTCCGATCTAAAGTTAAACATTTGATACAATAAAATCATGTAAACATATGTAAACTATCATATGGTTATTAATGAATAATAACTTACTGCGATAATTGATGACAACAGATCAATATTTCTGAAGATGTACATTTATCAAAAGAATTCAATTCATCAAAATTTCCTAATTGAGATAATGAAAAATCTTTGTCCATTTTGTCATACAATTTTCATTAAAATTCATATAATAATCTGATATTTCACTGATTGGATATTGATAATTATTTGATCGATTATTTGTAAATATTGACGGTGAGTTTGACAAACGATAATATGATTGTTTACAATAAAAAATTAACATACGAGCCCAACAATATTTCCCACATTTTAATCGTAATCGATAAAATGAAGTGACCACCGGTTGATTTTCATTAACTAAAATTATTTCAATTTTTTGGAAAAAAGAGAAACAATGAAAATAAATGATTAAAAAAGAAACATCTATAGCGAAGAAATGACAAATCATACAAAACAACGGAGTAATTGGTTGTTGAACATTAAGTAAACAAAAAAACTACACATTGTTTTGAATTCTTTTATTGATTAAACCATTTTCATTGGAATTTCGTCGTTATTTTATTCTCCTTTATAAGTGAGGTTATAACAGCTATTCAGTTGGTACAGTAATTCCCAAGGTGGAAAACAAAACAAATATTTGTACCGGTATACTGCATAAAAAATATCTTTGAAGACACATCAGCACAATATAGCAAGGATGTTAATAAAATTAATAGACTGAATAAAATATCGTAGATATATATCTTATGTAAAAGAACATTCTACAACATTGATAGTAACAAATGTCCATAGATCTAGAAGTCAGTGGTTATGTAATGAGTAAATGTTGATAATAAGCAAGAATAAAATGAGTAAATCTCAGTTAATTAAATCAAGTAAACGGAATACACCCATTAAGATATTAATATATCTGTCATGTATTTCAGTACGTGTGCTTGATTTAGTTTCATTGGGGATTGAGGAGTGGTGATTCGAGGTAGGATCATAATTGAACAAACATAGATGGGATTTTCATTAAAAATAGCAGTACGGATGGAAAAAAGATACTGTATTTTATGTTGAAATAAACCATTCTGATGTTAAAGTCATTTTGAAATAAAAGAGTTGAACGAATGCGCTTAGTAAAATATAATAAATTCTACATGTTTTGTGAGCAGATAAGTGAGTTGCCAAACATTTTAAATGAAAGATCACAAATTTAATTACGGATTATGAATATGATAAGCTTAAAAACTGGTTTTGTAAGGAGTGTGTTATGATCCCTTGTTTTTCCGTAAAACAAAACGCTTAAGAATCTGGAAGTAAGCTACAAACATTTTTCTGAATCAGAATCAAGTGGAAACTTGCCAGAAACTTATAGAAGAATAATGGAATATGTGTCACATCCTTAGTGGATAATCACCTATGTGGCCATTAAATTGTGATTCCAGCAGCTTCCAGAATGTCAGGGTTACTTATAAACCTATAAATACCCTTACTTACTGTACATAAACTAGACTTGGAAATAAAGCTTCATTTTACAAATTCCGCTTTCACAGTGCTATTTAAAATCCAAGCATAGAAAAATTAAGAGGAACTAATAAACAGTTAGGAAGCCGTTGTCTAGCACTTTAGTGCCACACTGGTCATGTTGTCAAAAAAAAAAACAAATTTTGATCAATTTGAAGATTATCCAGTCAACCAGCAATACATTATATTTAACCATTTACTAGACCAGACAGATACTTTTAATTTTCTGTTTGTATATCACAGAGTATTCTACTATGAATATGAATAGTTCCAGAAAAATCCGGGAATACAATAAGCTGTATACATCATTATAATAATCCAAGATTCTCTCTCGAGCATAAGTCGATACTGAAAACAAGCATACCAATAGGAATTAAAACTAAACCTGGATATATATACATATACAATAGGCTATAAACAGTTGTCGAGACAATAGATACAATTTTTATGTGAATAAATAGAAAGGATTGTGATGTCATTACTTAAAAGTACAGCGACAAAAACAATAACGAGAATCTGAAACAAGTTAATAAACTATGACGTCTACACCAGAAATTTCATTCTGCCATTCACTATTGTATCATTCATTTGTAAACAAAATAATCATGGTAATAATAATAATAGTTATTTAATTTAACCGGAAAATTAATTTGCACACACTAAACAATAATTTTAAATTATATTACTACAGAGATGAGATGATCTTGTTTGTTCAGATTGAAATAATAATAGACAACAGTTAGCTATTTATCGAGTTTCAGTGGGAAGGAAATCACATATTTATAATAAACGATAAATGATTTAGTAAGGAATCAAATAACATTGAATATTTCTCTTCTGCTTGAAAACAGAATTATTCAGTTGCGAATTAATTAAATCCACCAATACCTGACGACTACATAATCATCATCGTTATCTAACCAGTTTAGTTTACAATTCATTAGTTCATTTTGAGGTTGAATTAGAAAACTAAGACAGTGATTACTGATCACCATTACGGGTTGAAAAAGTGACTAAGTATAAGCATAGTTTTCTCTATTAAACATTTAATGATAACTTCATGTTACACTTAGTTATGTTGTGAGTAAACAATTAATTGTGTCCTAATCTAATTGAAATAACTGATATAAGAAAAATCACTCTGATCTAGCATAAATATTATATGTTCATGTTTATTCATATAAATAAACAAGTACTGAATACACTAAAATATTCTCTGATGTAACGATCTGTTACAGTAGAGTAACTAGAATATTTTCGATTCAATGGTACATTTTAGATTGAAGAATAATGTAACTTTCATTCATCAAAACTGATCAACTAACTATCAAACAAATATACAATTACATTCTACAACAGTCAATCAAGTCGTTTTACTAAGGGCAAGAAATAAATGTTTACTGTCTGATTAGAAATGTGATTATTCATTCATATACATTGAAGGTGTGTAATTCAGCGTAAATTAATGTTCTTCAATATTAATTTATTGTAAAAGAGACCGAAAAAACTAACTGGTATTTCTGGGTTTTTAAATGTTTTCTCACGATCATAACCTATTCCTGAATAAAATAAATATCGGACATCACAAGAAACGCATAATGAGAATTAATATTTGTAGGATTGTTTTCTCACTAAATATTGTATACTGATGAATTATTTTGAATCGAATGAACAAACCTCTGGATAAATCCCGCTTCTATTGTTTAAAACCTATCAGGTTGAGTGTTTACGTTGGTGTATACAAAAAACAATGAAAGGTTCGAAATTGAACGAATCAATCCAGAGAACGGTTTTTTTATGGCACTTACTGATTTATTTATTTATCCTACTTTAAAATTACTTCCAATCTACTTCACTAACTTTAACGTACATAGAGTAACCTTATCATGTCGTTTTTTAAAAAACTTGGAATGGATATTTTATTGAAACATTGTTTAAAATTTGAACAAACAGCTTGACAGAAATTTTCATATAAAAGACATCAAAACGTAAAATTATATTTAAAACAGTCAGCTTTCCCTGAAGAAGCTCGAACAAATTTGACGGGCGAAACATTAAAATTATTTAAATTTCAATAACTGAGATTATTTTTAACGTTCATTAACATCAGCTATATTGATTGAATCCTTCTACTGAGTATAATAATTCACTGAACTATAACTGTCAAGAAGTTGATGCTTTAGCAAGTATTCTTATAAAAATCAACATGACAGTAACTTTTGATTATCAAATTTTTATGACACTTTAACAATTTTTTTTACCAAAACGATATATTTCATAAAATTTCAACAAATAAAATACATATCTAATGAGAAATATTAATATCATTTATAATTTGCTCAATATGTGTGAGTATAAAACCATCATGAATTCCTTAAGTTACACAAAGGAAACGGTAAGATTTCATGGTTTAATAACTTTTAAAGATGATTATGTAATAGAAAATGTGATATTAATTTGATTGACACACACTAAACTATATATATATATATATATATATATATATATATATATATATATATATATATATATATATATATATATATATATATATATATATATATATAGAGAGAGAGAGAGAGAGAGAGAGAGAAAGGAAAATGCTGACAGTATTTCTATCATTTGGAATTCTTTAAAAGCTTACGAAGCAATTCTGAAAGACAATGGATCACGTTTTATGATCCTGATTAGACAGTTATTGATATTGTTAACAATTTTTGTATATTTTCTAAAAATTTCTTGGATCTCAAGTACATTCCTGTTCTCCCTCATATATATATATATATATATATATATATATATATATATATATATATATAAAGAATGACTAAGAGGCTATTACAAATTTTCATTCCTTCCATGCTTATTTTTAAGACAACACTATTTATAATATGAACTCTATGTTTTCTTCTTAACAGAAATTTATTATGAAGTAAACTATATTGATCGTGAGTTAGTATATAGCAAAATAATCAAAATATTATTTAGTTAGATGAAAGGAAAGAAATGGTATGCAGATTCACTTCAGACAAACAATTTGGCATTAAAAACAAAATTGTTTTTCCTCTGACACTAGTGTAACACACATTAGTTGTTCGCAGGAATTCTCATTAAGCCTAACAAGAAAAATATCCACTGTAGTAAATTAATGTGAGATATTCATTCATAGTGACATATATTATTAAAAAATAGAACAATTGTTATTGTATAACTTGAATTATATGTCATACTGATATTATCAATAGAGGCAATGTCAAAATACTGCTGATCACTATAAATAAACAATGTGTTTTCTCAATATAAATGTGTATAAAACAGCGATTCCAATGAAACATTGATGGAAAAACTAAGACTATTGTCAGTGAAGATATTTTACTTTTCGACCACATTTACTGAAGCTCTCTACAATAGCATGTATATTTATTTACAATATGTTATATTGCGAAATAGGGTGTGACTTCTTCACACAATTTTTTGGAAACAACCTTTTACTATTCAATATTTCCGAAAGCGATGTGACAATCATTTCCCCATATAATATATATACATATGATTGTAGGATTTCAGTATTGTCGAAAAGAAAAATCTCTTCACTGATAATAGGCCTTGTTTTCTGATCAATGTCGCAATGAAATTATTGTGTTGTTATGCATATATATGTTGAGTGAAAATGTTGTGCAACCTAACTGACAATAAGAAGAAAAATTACTTAACCTATATTACAGAGATTAAACATTAGAAAATCCTAGTCAATTAAAAATTATGATTATTAAGATAACGACAAAGTCACGAACCAAATTAATGTCTACAATATACTAATAAATAATAGCTTTCAATTAAAGGTCAGAAGTTCAATCTTCAAAATGTCACAGTATGAATCGAATAGAAATTTGATAAAAAAAAATCTGAACATGATTTGAAATAATAATCTTTAACAATTAAATCACTTCATAATGTTAAAGAATTATTGTACACCATTTTCAAGTACATAAATTTATTTAGAAAACTTATGAAATAGCTATAGTTCTAATCATATCGAATAAACAAAATTACCAAGGTACAACATGTTAATTATGCAGAAGAACACGAGATAAAAGAAAACAGAATCTAATATGGAATAAAGCTCAAATTATATTATTCATAGTTGTTTTAAATGGTAAACAGTATGTTAAAGCAATACTTATGTAGAACAGATGCTAATCATCCAATACTACAAAGTAATTAAAGTTTTTAAGTATTAAGTGAAAAAGGGGTTGCATCATTTAGCAAAGTAATCAGAAATCATGAAGCGCCTACTTTGTGTACTAAGTATTAGAAGTAATTGGTAAAATCTAAAGAATAAAAGCTAAAGATGATCGTCCACTTAATAAAGAAGAGCGAGAAGGTAAAAACTAGCAATATTTGTAAGATATCTGTGATTAAATACCAGTAACTTGCGAATATCCTCTACCCTTGATGGTCAGGATTCGCAGCCGTAAGGTGAAGCAAAACGAACTGCTGAGCAGTATATTCGTCTTTTAATTGATAGACGGGTAACTCTCCTACGCCATAGGTAATGGAAATTGACAAAAGCGAAACGAGTTTTTTGAATCCGTGCTGAGATTTCATCAGACACCAACCCTTTATGGCTGATCTGACTTCCAATATAAGTGAAGTTGTCGACTCATTCGACTAATTCACTCCCTATCTTTAGTCCACGTGTTGATGCAGACCAGTCCTGAAGCAAAACTTTACATTTTGAGGGGGATAAAAGCATCCCAAACATCCAGGCATTATTGCATAGTGCTACCAAAAGGCTGCATTTTATCAGTATCTTCAATAAACAGGACTATGTCGTTTGCATATTCTAAGTCAATAAGTGAACTTCCTAGTAGGATATTGATTACCGAAAATTCAGATGACGTGAACGAGTTAACCTAGATTGGGGATTCTTTACTGAGAATGCATTTTGTGGTTTATCAACAGGTAAGACTATACTATTGGAAAAAGGAATTTTAAGCTGTCACGGATAATTGGAATTTTCAATGAATAAAATTCAATGTTGGATAGCACTGGTTATTTGATATATTGTACATTTATAATATATAAATGGCGAATAGAATGGGTGGATGATAATACTGTTAATGAATAATTTCATCAATAGATCCAACTTATTCAATTACATGCAGAGAAAGTTTTAAATAAGCTAAGTAATTTGATGGTCAACAATTATACTGAGTAGAATAATCGTAAGCTTAGAGAGCCTTAAGAACTAGTGTGTATTGCAATCTCGTAGTTCACGTGTGTACAATCACATGAGTAACAAATCAACACTATAAAGGACTTGTGACCACTCATCAATTACGTTCTGATTGACGGTTTAATAATGAGAGAATTTACCGGCGCGAAAATAATAAAAACAGATAAGAAGCGTTAATTAATAATGACTTATGAGACATGACAATTTGTCTCGGTATGATTATCAATTAGCAAGGCCATTAGATCTTTTTGTAAATCATAAAAATGTGGAGAATCTACATTTTGGTATTTATATTGTAATAATGATTCAAATGAAGATGTGATTGAACAATCTACACAGACAATCAGTCAATCTAATCATCAATCTTTGACCCCAAAAGGTCGTTTTCGATGCGCCAAATATATAACACTAGAACCTACTATAGTAGTCAACATACATGAGCCTAATATTCAAAAAAGTTCAGAAACACAGTAGAATAGATGTGTAATATCACTATCTTTTATTACATACTAATGTGATCTATACAACGTTGTTAAAAAGTATTGCCTAGAACGAAATGTTATGTAAGTTTATATACTAAATCCTGTTTAAGTATTAAAAAGTGAATAGGATCGTAATGATCGATCGTAATGATAACCAAAATTTCACTACGTTGAAATTTACATTAATTTATAATAAAGTTACATTACACGTTTAAGTTAGGTTAAATAAAGAATGTAGGATTGAAAAACTCACTTTATTGTAAAAAACCGACATATATTCAAAATACCATTTCCCATTTCATAAAGATCAAGAAAAATAAACAATGCACAACGAATATCATCATTTTAAATTGGAATACAAATATTTACATTGTTATGATAACATAGATAACATTGCAAATATTACTATCGACTTGATTATTAAACCAGTCAACTAACCTATATTTATAGCTTCAGATATATGCACCAAATCATCGATATGTATCAGATCGAATAAACATTTATTTAAAAGGTCGACTTTTGTATAACCCGACTGGGTTAGGAAACTAAACATAAAGAGAAAAATTGAGAAAAATAATTTACAACATTAGTAATTAAAAATTCGAGAAAAAATGCTTGTGAGAAAAGCAATATCATATATGTATAACTTTGAAACTAGAATGAAACAGTTCGCTAAATCACACCTATTTCTAATGGTCGCTACGAAATTACAGATATTCTGTAACAAAAAATCCATACAAAATAAACTATTTTTACAAAACTATCTCATTCAATGATTGTGATGGATTTCTTGATGTTTTATGGTGGGAGGACATGGATTATGGATATGAGACAATAAACTCACCTATAACACTGAACGAAAATAGAGTTAAACTGAATTATAAATTCGGAAGATGTACACTATCGCATAATTACCAGTTCGATTGAATGGTAATCTGTACTCGACATGAAAACACAAACTCGTAAATTTAATTTGATGCAAGACCATAAATATCTGGTTTAATAAAATGTCCTTAGCTAGAATAATGAAACAACTTTTTTGGTGATATCTGATTCTGAATAGTTAGTCAGCCCTACATACCTGAGTGATATTATTTATTGATAGAGATCACACCTTCAAATTATAAAAAATTTAAGTTATGACATTTTAATAGTGAATAAAAGTAGAGAAACTTAGTATAAAGAATTAATCTAAGGTAAAATAAAAAAGGGATGTAGTATACCAAATCAATAAACAATATGAACCTAGTCTCTGTTTATGAGTTGACTGATTTAACTTATGAAAATAGTTACTTAACACTTAACTACTCTAGATGTATACTATTTCAGTCAAGCCTCCACAGAAGGTAAATCCAGTCGGTTCTCTGTATTGACTAGGTGAGGTCAAGTGAATGACCATACTTGGATCCTGTATGCGTGTTTCAGATGTTTGTGATGTGTTAGCTGAGTTCTTCAAAAGAACTTACCAATGGTCTCAAGCTTTGGTCAGCCATCTTCATAAGCCTTCTTCGAATGTACTTATATACCAGCACATATCCACTCATCGAGGTAAGTAGTAGCTAGACATATGCAACACATGCAAAAACCGCCCTCAATCAATGAAGATCTACAACCTCATCTACTGATTTTTCATATTAACTTAGTATTCTGTATCTACCCTTAACATCGTTCACTTGATCAACTCAAGAAGTGCTAGCAATACTTTGAAAACACTTGGGTATCAAAAACTATACAAACAAACAATAACCTAATTGACGAAATAATTCACTTGTTCAAAATCAAAATCCCTATGACCGACATATTCCGCTGTAACAAAGTAGAATCTTTGTTACATGAATCTCAGTCAATAATGTCTTTATTTGACTTGTATTTCAATTGTGAACAACAATCAACTTCAGTAATAAAATTTAGCACTGAAATAAGTCCATTCAAATTTTCAGTACAAATATATCATATAGGCGAGGCTATAATTTGTGGACGACCTTTGAGCGACGCTGAAGTGACCTTGAGAATGTCCACCTACATACTAGGGCTAAATAAGTATTATAAACCACTGTGAGAAATTAGAATTATTATTTACAGTTGATGGTTAGGGCTAGGAATTAGATTTTGCGTTTTCATCCCGAACTGATATAAACTAAAATGTCAAAACGCTAGTTAGTCAAATGGATAAAGAATTTCTTGTCGAAATCCAACACCTGTTATCATAAATCTGATTGATTCGTTCATAAATTATAGTCTCATCATTATATATAATTTATTGGATAAAAGGATTTAAAACTAAACTAAACTAAAACAAATATACTTACTCATTAGCAATATCTATAAATTGTAGATTTTTAGTTGAATGACATGTTTTACATGAATTTGATAAGCCTGTGCAACATGAATTATTATTTTTATTGATAAATTTTACCAATGTATTATTTTTCTGTACAGTATTACTTCTATTTTCATCAATTATTGAAAATGATGAATTCCTAGTGAAATCATAATCGTTATTCTTGTTTTTATTATAATTAATATTATTACCATTCATAGTATTGTTATTATTACGATCTGAATTATTATGGATATTACTACAATTAATAATATGGTTATCATCAGTAAAACATGATTCATGATTTTCTTTATTGACATAATTATGCATATTATTGTTAATATTTGATAAATGAATAGGTTGTAATAAATATATACGAAGATTTACATCATTTGCTCGATCTGGTTTAAATGAAGAATCAGCTTCACTGCCACAACCATTATTACTAGAAATATTATTTGAATCATTGTTATTGTGTAACAATATTTCAGTTGCATTACAATATCCAATATCAGTTCTGTTGTTGATGTTATGATTAGGATTAAAAGGAAGGTTATTGGTTTGCTGGCAATTTATATGATTATTTGAAAATGGTGATGGGGATGATGATGATGACGACGACGAACTACAGCCGATATCTAGAGTGAAATCTCCATGTTTTGAAAATTTATTTCTTATACATAGATTTGAACTATTCCAACATAATACGTACTTTGAAAAACAGAATTCGAATAGAATAAAAACAAATAAACGAAATATAAGATAATTTGTTGGTAATGACTTTATCAAGTGATAATATCATAGAAATAAGTTCAACGATATTCATTAAATAACTAGATAATAATAAACAAAATACACCTGAGACGTTTACGTTAGATTCTACAATGTTTACACCTATCCAGCTGTTGGGTTGATTAATTCAGCTTGGTATATGACGGATAAAAATTTAACTCCACATGTTTAGGAAACTGAAAAGGACTAGAAAATATAACACTGCTGGTCAGAATAACAGGTACTAATTTAAAATGTTAAATAACTTTTATTTTTCGTGCTTATGTGTAAACTAAAGGAGATAAGAATAAAACTTGGGTGAACAGAAGTAACGTAATGCGATGTAAATTAGTAACGAAATACAGATTTGTATACTCGTTTTTAAATCAAACTTTTTTTAAAAGGTGAATGGAGAATACTATTCTCCTGTTAAGACACAAGTATATAAAGAAGGAACCATGATTACACTACGTTTAGACAGGCGACAGTTTATTTGCACAGGAATGAGACCAGGATGTATTTGCGCTTAATAACGAATTTTCGCGACGTTCCAAAGATTTCCAGACACTGACAATTTTCATTTGACATAGGTATGGATAATCATGATCTGTAGTGGTAAGTAATAAACCAGGAATCTGACAACAAAATTAATAAATGATTCAGACATATAAACAACATTGACTACATTCCACTCGTCATGGATTAAAGTTTAGTCTTACAATCTGGAAAAATTAGCATGTAAAATGTTTGCCAATTTACATAAATGAACAAACTATTTGATGTATGAAATCTTATCACTTGAAGTTAGGATTTTAATTAACAACGTAAATATTGAGTTCATGATACACTTAATATATAAGTAAAATGATTTCTAACTACGTTGAACCAGTAAGATGTTGTACAGTGTTAAACGCAACCCATTCACAAAATCGAAATACTAACGTTGATCATTAACTGAATAGATAATACCTTCACTATTAAAATTATGTATGTTATTATTCTATAGACAAAAATTCCAGTATTTTGTACAAAGAAACGGTTTGACGTAGAATTTACGCCTATGTGTTCTATTATTATTAAAAACATTTACCCCTATCTGGTCAAGATCAAAACCGGTAAACAAAAAATAATTCATTCAAACACATACATACACATAGAATTGATTTTTAAGCAGCACAGTTTACCGAAAACAACTGGAAAATATCAAGGAACATAAAAATTATATGTAATCAACAATATAGAGATTTTGAGTCTATAAAAAGAGAAGGGGAGAGAGAGAGAGAGGAACTGAGCGCGCGAAAACTATAGACAAAATAACGAAATTTTAGAGATAAAATAAACAGTAAATAAAAAACACATGATGATAACAAAACAACAAGAACATATGGTGCTGTCGTCATTCATTACATCTATTTGCCATGATAATGAATTCTAAAAAAAGCAGTAAATCAGAGAGAAATGTAAAGAAAGAAATTGTTTAATCCAAATACAAAACAATGTGGCCTTTGATAGATAATCCCTATTTGTCATTATTTGTTTTTAAAACATTAACTGTAGTTAAATGCAGAAAAAGCTAACAAATACAATAGAGTTATGTGAATACAGAGAGGGAGAAGGTGGTTATGTTGAAAAAATCTTAGTTGGCAAAAAAATATATTCCAATAATAATGAGCATTAAATTAAATATTGTGACATTCTATTGATAAACAAATTGGAATAGAGTAACTTTGAAATAAAAACGATAATAATAGAACTGTTAGGATCAACATAAATTTGTTGAAAAATGCTTCTTTAAAAAAAAAAGAGAACATAATCTCTTTATAATGTTAATAGAATTAATTTACTGATTGAGTAAATTGAAAATATGTATATATGAAACGTTTATGGGTTGTTTTAATTATTATTTCAATTGACTAATATATGACGTAACAAACATGAGGATGGAGCGAATAGATAAGTAATGCTTAATCCTAAAACCAACTTTCGTTTCCTTAATTTTTTTTCTGTAGATAATTTAAAAGTTCATTGAAGATGTATTTTTGTGGAAAAGTAAGTTTGTTGTTTGCAGCCTGTTATTTGGTTAACAAGTGTCATCGGTAGATAAAAGATTAAGCATTCACAATGATACATATATAATGCGCTTATCATGTAATCTATTAAAAACAAATTTCTGGTTCAATCTTTGAACTTAATACACACAATATATCCCAATTGGATACTACTATTAAGCGATGAATAATTGTCCCTATAATCACGTTTTTATTTCATTGTTATGTAAATGACCTATAAACTGAATAAGTACCTTAAAATTATAAATATGTTAAGCAATTTTTTTACCACCCTTGTCTTTGTGACCAATATTTTCTAAAAAAATATTTTGCATTCAATAAAAAAGACTTATTTTCACGTCAACTATAATTATTATTTGACATTCATCTCTACATGAGTGCTTGCGTCAAAACTTCAATCAGGTGACCAGCTATCGTTGTGCGTAATCCATCAATAAACATTCCATCCATCATTAAAACAATAATCTGAAACGCCTCCATAATAAACTTTAAAATAACCAGGATAACCAAACATCAATTATAAGTATAACATATACCAGTAATATGGTTGATTCATTCGCCAAATACTTGAGAATGAATCACGCTCTAAATGTGAGGACTAGTCATACTACGTGGTTGACGAAACCGATGAGGGTGAAACAGGGTTTAAATATGGAACTTTACTACTGACTGAAAGTCAAATATCTTAACCACTAAGCCACTTCTCCAAATATTAATTAGGTTTTACTCAGTCAATATTGATAGGTTAATAAATAATATATTCAGAAACATCCAAATAGCTGAGTCTTTAAACTAGACAACATCACTTATTCTCCTGAATAAAACTAACATTTCTATATATAAACATTCCAATATGTTAGATAGCAAATTATAAATGTACTAACAATAATTAGTGGGTAGTTATTTTGTCTCTTTGAAATTGTATGACTGTTATATATTTAAGTGAATCAAATAATACAATTTATCCACAAATATATGTACTTCATCCAGTCACTTCAATCCAGTGTTGTTTCCTATCATTTTTCATGTTAATATTTTTTTTTTAATTTTTCATATAAATATACTTACAGCTATGTGTATAAATCGAGGTCTATTATGAATTCATGTTTTATAGATAGTAAGCTGCATATTAACATATATTTCAAATTAATCATTGTATAGCTATATTTATCGGTTTGATGTTAAGTAAGAACGTTTATTTCTGATTAAATGAATGCCCTTGACTTCAGGTTTATATATATTTTTTTCAAATAGTTTTACAAGTTAATTGGCACTTTTTAATAAAACTTTGATTATCTAGATATCGTGTTACTTGGTTAATTGAGTGAACGTTGTTAATATCGAGTTTATATGATCATATTAACTTATTATGATTCATTGATTAGGAAATTTTAAGGGTTATGTAATAATTTATGATTCGGAGAAGGACTAATACAGCAATGTCCATTTAGAAGATGACTTAGATTGAAGAGCGATAATCTCATAAATAAGGATCAAGTTTTTTTTTCTGTCACATTCCTTTCTGAAACACGGTCAAAACTATATTTTTGATTGGTGTTAGACCTCAAGGTTGATTGTATTTAAGCCGGACATAAATATGCTATAACTACCTTAAACGACAAAGTATTAAAACGTTAACAAGCTCATAATTTTTCCTCTGTAAAACTATGCTCTGAACTTCAAAATAGGTTGTATGTTGCTTCCATCATATTTGATGAGTCATGACTAGTCATTAATATTAACTCCTCGAAAGATTACACTTTGTAACATACAATATAACGAGGTTCTATGGATTTGCCTTTTGGATCACTGGTCATTCGTAACATGGAATAATATTTCTTCATATATGAAGCAGAGCTTATCCATTTTTTGCTTTTATTAATCGTTTATTGTATAATATAATAAATTATTGTAAAGAAAAATAAACTGCACACTGAAATAGTTGATGACCATTTGATTTTTCTCCACCAATTGATAATATTTTAAATGAAATACTGGTCATTATCAAAAGAAAACTGCCAAGCCATTTCATTTAGATTATAATGGTTAAGTTGTAGATTTGTTTCGAATCATCATCTCCCCATGTTCTAAATGAATTATTGACACCATTTATTCAGTAGTTTAACATTTTAATGGTTGACATCTTTCTTATTGACTGTAATATTTTACATTATACAATTTATCTGGAAAATACTCTAATTCGACCGAACAGGTTATTTTTCTATTTAACTTAAAATCATCAGTTGGATCAGGTTGTCTATACATTTTTGATTTTGATAATTTGACGATTTAAGAATACTAACAAACTGACCTGTTTACATTGTAGTAAACGATTGAATAATCACATCGTATAACCCAATGATCATTTTTGTATTTACTTACTAGATTTTGCAGTACATTTAATTCCGATGAGCTAACTAAATCACTTTATTGTTCTAATCATTTTGGTTACTGTGAGATAATTTGAACCATAGACTTAACTCTATGAAGCCTAATAATCATTAGCTAAAACGTCAAATATACTACACACTGTTGAGGAATTCAGAGTGAATAAACATGAGCAACCATTTCTTACCTGCTAATGATTCCTTAAACATGTGTTTGTGAGGATTTTCTGAAAACTGAGTTCATCAGTTTATGTTGGTGTTTCAACTTCGTAATTAAATGTCTTGATATTTCCCACTTTTGGAAAGGAATACTCGTGACTAGGATGCACGTTTCCTGCAAACTGAATCCTTTCAACAGGATAAACTTCCATTAATTCAAAATGTAAGTTTATTTATGCCTACTTAGAATCCAAATATATAAAATCATATAAGATATCTCAGCGAATGAATTTTAAGTAAATCCAACGTTTCGCCTGGCAATCTG